TTACAATATTTTATTATTGTATTAGTTAAAATATTTATTATGTATTAATAATATGTATTAGTTAAAATATTGTATGTAATATTGTATCCTAGTTAGTTATTGTATCCTAAAAACTAGGATACAATATTACCAAAAAAATGTTCTTCTTTTAAATAAAACAAGTTTCAACTTCATAACGTTCTTAGTTTTTTATTTATTAACAAATTAAAAAGGTCAGTTAATTCTGGTTCACCCTGTATATGTAATTGCTGCCTTTAATTAGAAGAAAACATCTGGTGCTCCATACTGGTCGAGAACATGTATAGATCACAACAGGCGCGTGCAATTAGATTAATTGTTCGCCCCTAATGGAGACCGTGTCCTTCTACTCGAAGCTACTCAATGAAAGACGATGAGCGACTATGATAGTCCCATGTCGAGGTAGCGGAGGGCCTCAGCAACGCCAGGTGCTATCGTTATCACAGTAATGATTTAAAACAATGGTACGGATCCCGAAGGAAAAAATCAAATTAAATTAAAAAATATATAACTCAGTACTCACTGCAGTGAGTGACAGCGAACGTATTTTCTCGTCTGTCCGTCCGTGAAGTCGCGGACGGACAGACGGACAGGACGAGCACAATGGCGCCTTTTTTTCCCATAAATGAGAAAACGCGCTATAAAGGGCCAGTCGTGGTAAGAAACAAATGGAAATACATTTTCAAAACTATAAATAAAAAAGATGCATAAAATATAAATATTCAATAAAAACAAATAAAACGTAATGAACTGAAATACTATTGTTGAATATTTTGAAGTGGGAATTTGAGAAACCCTATTTCAGGGTTGCGAGAACGCGGAACAGCTCTGCAGAAAGGCCATGAGTATGGCAGGGGACATACCTTGTATGGCTATGCCCATACCAGCGCGGCTGCTACGCTCCACCGACCACCGATGCGGTCTTCTCGGATGTTCCAATAAATGGCGAGTGACCCGAACCCGGAAAACTTCCAAAATGCCTTGGAACTTTCATTCAGAATTTCTTTTCGGGAAACCGAATTCAGTTTCAATATCTAAGATCTCCGGGGATTTTAGGTGAAAATTGCTTCGAGAACAACCGCAGCACACATGAAGATAAAAATTAGGCTAGGAAAATTAATCTAAAATATTGAAAAATGCTAAGAATTTGTAGACGCCTAAATTAGGATTTGAAAACGAAATACTTGTACACTTGAAGCAGGAATGACATGTCTGGAATTTAAACAAGAGTGCACACAATTCTTTCGTGCCGGCAAGCATTCAGTGGACGGACATGAGTGATTACGCCCGACAAGCAAGCTCGGTTCTCCATTCAGTCAACGTTATGAACTTTAAGGCATTTGAACGAGTCGTGCATTCCGGTCAGTGTTTTTCAGACTGTCTGCAAAATACGAGCCAAAAACTGTGTGTGGAGATTTCTAAGATATGTTTTGATGGGGAAATATTAATAATAATACAAATATTATATGAAACCATTTCATTCGTGTAAATCGGCCAACGATATCTTTACATTACGTTATGTTTTTTTAAGATATTAAAAAAAACATTTAGGTGAGTAAATCTGCTAACATTACCTTTGCATCAGGTTACTTGGTATTTAACAGGTTTGCCTTGTGCAGTTACTGAACACTTCTTCGAGGTGTTCAGTGCTACGATTACAATCTGAAATAGAATTCTCGCTTTCCAAATTTCGTGATTATGAGAGAATTTGAACAGTCAATGACTATATGACACACCGCTAGAGCACATTCAATGCAGTTTGACGGTTGAGATGTTGTATGCAAGATTAAAATGTAACGTGTGACTCGCCCACGCGTCGCACTATATGTCAGGATGGCTGATCACTATAACTAAACAAATTATTACCTACCATACATGATCTGTAGTCGGGTATGTTCCAGTATATAGGAAAAATATTTGCATAAAATAAACAAGCTATACGCGCACATTGAACATGATCGTGAAATTTAGGTCTGCCATATTTATTTGAAAAATAAAGGCTATATTTTCTGAAAAATTAAAGGCTATACTTCTTAGAAAAAATTAATTTCATTCGCGGATAAATTTGCGGAGTACAATCCACTCACACTACCAAAACTGTTCTGTGCCCAGCAGGAAGGTACACACTGTATAATGCCAGCATGCATGTGCGAAGTTAACCTCTCAAGGAAAAGCTAATAAAAACATTTGTGTTTGTTCTCGTGTATATGCACTGAATGCAAGGATACCGTATGCTTGGCTGCCCGCTGCTTGCTGTAAATATAATTTTATAACTTATAGATAAAAGATAAAAACTTCACCAGCACTCGTGCAGACGGCAGGGGAATTTCGTAGCTTATGCCTATTATTTCGAAAATACATGAGAAAATTATTCAACTATTGGGTGGTTGATATTAATTAAGTGATGGTTATGCAAACATTAAGCAGATGTTGCATGCAGCAGCACAGACTGCAGATGTTCCATGCAGCACAGACTGCAGATGTTGCAGCAGCACAGACTGCAGATGTTGCAGCAGCAGCACAGACTGCAGATGTTGCAGCAGCACAGACTGCAGATGTTGCATGCAGCACAGAATGCACAGACTGTTGCAGGGCGCAGCAATTCTGCAAGTCACAGTCCGTGTTGTTGCTCGCTCAGTGTTTGTACAGCCCAGCTATAGGACGAGACTAACACGGTCTATCTAACTTTAACCACTTCACGTATCCGTCAACTCGCTGTCAGCAACGAAAGTTCCTGCACACAAACTCTTTCGGAAACAAACTTACTGTCGTTGGTTAATTTATTCTCTTTATTTATTTATTAACCTTTTATTATTATTATTATAACCTTTGTTCGCGCCGAACAAAGATGTACAGCAAACCTGAACAAAGCTGGAAAATTCTACAGTAACATTCTGAAGAAAAATCTTAATATACGTACTATAGAAAATAAGTAAATAATAGTACATTTGGAAACGTATTAGATTATTAAAGGCGAAATTAATTTGCGAATAATTAATTTGAAAATAAATAATTTGAGAAATAACACTCATGTAGAAATGAGTAATAACGTGGCAGATGAAGCCTTTTACAAAGCTGAAGGAATTTCCTCCAAATTAAGCCGGCTTGTATAAAAATTGAGTGTTCAAAGATGCCAGATTAAAAAAGGGTTGCGTTTTTTTAGTGTTTCAGGGGTTACCTCGGCATGGCAGCCGCACCCAGTATTTGCATTGTAACTTCACCATCAGAAATCTACTTGGCAACCTTTAATTCGACGCGACGATTAAAAAATAATAAATGAAACATTTGACCGAATTTTTGTAAGCAAATTGTGCATGTTGCCTATACTAACCGCAACAAGAATTAAGCCATGGCACCACAATATTGCTAGAAATGTCACCATCGTAATATATAATTTATATTTATTATGCCTCCCCAAAATCACACGACTGGGTCCGATCCAAAAGTAAGAGACTGGGTCCGCTCCAAAATCACATGACTGGGATTATTAATTATAAATACGACAAAATTATATTATAATTTATATTATTAAAACCCATAATTGATCGTAATATAATGATTAATTTGCTAACAGATTCCGATCTCAGATTTTTGAGGATAGGGATGGTGTTCAAATGTATCGAAGTGGCTAAGGGACTGATATTAACCTTTTATTATTATGATAACCTTTGTTCGCGCCGAACAAAGCTGTACAGCAAACCTGATGTTGTACAACATCAGGTTGTTGTACAGCAAACCTGAAGTATATAATAGTACATTTAGAAACGTATTAGATTATTAAAGGCGAAATTAATTTGCCAATAAATAATTTGAAAATAAATAATTTGAGAAATAACATGCATGTATAAATGAGTAATAACGTGGCAGATAACGCTTTTTTCATGGCTGGAGGAAGTTTCTCCAAACTAAACTGGCTTGCATAAAAATTGAGTGTTTAAAGATGCCAGACTATAAAAGGGTCGCGTTTTTTTAGCGCTTCAAGGGATACCTCGGCATGGCAGCCTCACCCAGTATTTGCATTGTAACTTAATCATCAGAAATCTACTTGGCAACCTTTAATTCGACGCGACGATTAAAAAAATAAAAAATGAAACATTTGACCGAATTTTCGTAAGCAATTTGTGCATATTGCCTATACTAACCGCAGCAAGAATTAAGCCATTGCACTACAATATTGCTAGAAATGTGACCATCTTAATAGATTGAATAATTTGCTAACAGATTCCGACCTCAGATTTTTGAGGATGGAGGAAGGTGTTCAAATGTATCGAAGTGGCTAAGGGACTGGGTTTGCAACTGGGACTGGGTTTGCAGAGTTTCCGAGGTCTTCTTTTGCGCGCTAATTTCCTACGTTAGAATATGCTTGGTGCATTGCATGATGAGCTATTGTGTGCATTTCGTGGTGAGTTTTGAAAGCATTTTGTGATGAGTTATTTGGTGCATTTCACGGTGAGTTAATTTGTGTGTTTGGTGATGAGTTATTTGGTGCATTTCGTGATGAGTTATTTGGTGCATTTTGTTATGAGTTATTTGATGCATTTCGTTAGGTGTTACTGGGTGTAATTTGTGATGAGTTTTTTAGTGCGTTTCGAGATATCAAATTTTTTTATTCAATGTTGACCATGATAGGATGTTAACGGAAGAGTAACGAAAATCTTTTTTCTGCGTTTTCAGGTAGTAAAAATCAGTTTAATTCATTCAAACAACTTCAAATTGAATAATAATAGAATAGTATTTTTCGACACGGATTCGTATGAAAAATAAATTCAAATTGCGACAAACGACTGCTATGAGTAAACTTGATCTGGTGTAGGTATTTGAAAATACATTCTGCTGGCCTGATGGAAGTGTGAAAACCTCTCGAACGAAGTGTCAAACCATTCCGAAAGAAGTGTCCAACCATCGTGAGAAAAGTGTCAAACCATCCCGGAGGATATGTTAAATGTTTTCCCAGAGCTCAGAAAACGACCAGAAAGTTCTCACCAAAAGCATGATTATGTCGATGGAAAACCTTTACTTCACATAAGCTGCACGTCTGTAGAAGGGCAATCATTTGCTCTACTCAGGCTTCCACACTTGCATCCCTAATTTTACGTAACTTTGAAGATCCCAATCTAAAAGATGACTCCAAATACATTGGTTAACAGCCTCCAATTACTTTAAATTTTTTTTTCATTGAGGCTCGTAATTAAACTGGACGCTTGCTGCTTTCTATTTCGACACAAGAATAATTAAAATACTACAGAAATCTAAGTTAAGAAGCCGTTTTACATTTCCAGCTGTTAGAAACGCAATACACTTCCCTCGCCAGCAACGCTACTATCCCTTCACTAATTTTACACTATCATTCATTCAAATACATAAAATTGGAATGGAGAACTACACAACTGGTCAAAGACGATTGTTAATATCAACTATTCCATACTCGTAGTTATGGAAATAAATTTGGAAAAGCTTTCACTTGACAATCAAACTCATCGGAAATCGGTAATGTTTCATGCAGAACCGTTACGTTAGTGCTCCAAATCCAGCATATTAGGATCATCAACAATTTACAATATACACCAATTAATGCTTCAATTCATCTATCAATCAACATTGGTGATAACTACTTTATTGGGACAACATAAACACGAATAGTTCCATTGAATGTACAACGATTAACCTACAATAGAAACAAACATCAACTTTAAATTACTCAATTCCATTGAATGTACAACGATTAACCTACAATAAAAACAAACATCAACTTTAAATTACTCAATTCCATTGGATGTACAACGATTAACCTACAATAGAAACAAACATCAACTTTAAATTACTCAATTCCATTGAATGTACAACCATTAACCTACAATAGAAACAAACATCAACTTTAAATTACTCAATTCCATTGGATGTACAACGATTAACCTACAATAAAAACATACATCACCTTTAAATTACTCAATTCCATTGAATATACAACGATTAACCTACAATAAAAACAAACATCACATTTAATTATTCAATAAAAGTCCCAGAATTTAAATGACTTGTGTGGATTTGAGTTACAAGTAACGATGCATCGAATATTGTTGCTACTGGCGAGTGCCTTCGTCATGCGCGGTGGGGCTGTGGTGAGCGTCGCGGGCCTGGACTCCGACTTGGATGGGACAGGCGGTGCCCTCGGTGGGGGCATGCCAGTGTTACCCCTGGCAGCAGTCGCACACATGGACGACCTCAACAGGGTCGTTGCTCGGCTAGCAAGTAAGTTACCGGTACAGAGTTCGAATAGAATTGTTGTTGTACCTGATGCTGTTCACTTCAGTGAGAGGCAATAACTCATATTTTTCATATTTAAAATGCCAGTGTTACCCCTGGCAGCAGTCGCACACATGGATGACCTCAACAGGGTTGTTGCTCGGCTTGCAAGTGAGTTACTGGTACAGACTTAGAATAGGATTGTGTTTGTACCTGATGCTGTTCACTTCAGGTATAGTAGGTAATAACCCATGCATGAGATTTAAAATGTTACTTCTCAAGATGTTACTGGTGATTTCTATCTAAAGTTGTCTATAAATGTTGCCTCTCGTTCTACCAGTCGAGAAATTAAATAACCGATTCTATATAACTAGTTTTAACATTTTACTCAAGGTTACGAAGAAGATTGGAATAGTCGAAAATTGTTAAAAAGTGAGTTTTACCATAAACATAGACGATACTAAACAGTGCATTATAAATGCAAATTTAAGCTTCAGGAACATCAGAAAAAATATCATAGTTCATCATATTTTCGCACTAGTGCCATATATTATCAGATATCCTTATGTCAACTGCTTATTATATTATACGAATATACCCAATTTTATTTTAGCTACAACATAAATTGTCCGCAAAATAAGTGTCGCATCCCATCGATATCAAAGGGTCTTAGTAGATATTTATANAATTGTCCGCAAAATAAGTGTCGCATCCCATCGATATCAAAGGGTCTTAGTAGATATTTATATACTTATTTATGAATTATTTTGCCATGGAGCCGTTTTCTATTTTCCCTCTGCATTTCCCTCTATTTCTTTTTCTATTTTCCCTCTGCATTCCCCTCTATTTTTTTCTATTTTCTCTCTGCATTTCCCTCTATTTCTTAGTCTTAGAGTCTTAGTAGAGATTTATATACTTATTTCTGAACAATTTTACCCTGGAGCCGCACCCGATCTTGCCATCGCAACTGAATATATTTCTATTCCGACAATAATTCAATCAGCGGAGAATGGTGGATCTGACATGACATTGTGTATCTTTATTTGATTATGCAGCCACATCTTATTAAGGCTCGGCGTGTAGGCACATTCTAAGAACACAGATAACATGAAATAAAATTTATTATTGCATTTCTGTCTGGAAAACACATCCCTAGTATTTTGCTGCCTTGCCCCTACTAGTCTTCTTTAAATTATAGCGTAAAATCCAGATGCCAACCGTGGAGACACAACAGACAACCAAATGAATTACTTAAGACATGCATCTGAATATGGATCAGGGAATATGGATGTGAATGATTGTCACTTGAAAAAAACTTCGTTTTTTTAAACCTATAATGCATCTGAGCAGGAAACAATTGCTCGGTAACTAGAGGATCACGTGTAAAAATGCACTTTGATGTTCCAAGACACGAATGCGGCGTTCAGCATTAATTAAAAAACTTGCATATACGACATACTCCATTCTTAGGTGTATGGTCAAAAATCCCAGTTTTGTTACTTAATGTTCAGTTTCAGGCGCGCAACAGCCGCTGCGGTTGCAGCATTTAAAATTTTGACTTGAAGTTTTGAGTGGATTTTCGTAGCAATTTTTAATAGATTCATGTGATAACACGTCCACTCAATAATCTTTTAATTTTCACATTTTTTTCTAAAAAATTTTCGGCAATCACTCCGTGACCAGCGGATGGTTTAGATTATACGATGCTTCTTAATTAAGAATAAGTTGCGATTCCAAGCCTACATTCCAATAGAATCTGAACGAAATAAACAACACTACACTAATTCAGGTTGTCATTTCCATGCATGGTCGTGAGCGACAAATTAAAACTTCATGGACATAAAGCCTCGGTTTATTTATACTGATGGTGTGGGTGTAACCTTGTACGCCTGCACAAGTCCGTGCTGGGATATTATTGTGTGTTGCTAACATGACTCATCCACATAACGACTTGGGTCACGTCTCGCAGTACTCACCTTCATCCACAGCTTGGAGGGTACTCACTAAGTACTAACTAAGTAACTAAGGGTACTATAGTAACTAAGTTACTAAGGGTACTATAGTAACTTAGTTACTAGTAGTACTAACTAAGGGTACTAGTACTAACTAAGAGTACTAGTAACTAAGCAACTAAGGGTACTACTAACGAGGGTACTCACGTTCATCCACGGCTTGGGTTCCTTCTCTAACCGGCATCAGTTCGTTTTACTCTTTAATAAAGAAGCTCAAACAATGTGGCGCAGATATGGAGGTAAAAGCATTAGTCCACGGACAAATAATCTTATCACAGTCACGAACTGAAATAATATGTGTGCGGTTTTATCTTGTACTGTCGCACCATAGTGTGAACCAAAATCTTCGGTGTTGCTTGCTTCTCTCTGTTACACTCGTGTTGCTCTCCCCCCACCCTGTTGCACTCTCATGTTGTATTCCCCTGTTAAAATCTCATGTTGCCCTCTATTTACACTCCTATGTTACCATTTAATTATAAAAGTAAATGGTAAGAGTTAAATGGTAACATGCACTAAATTTAAAATTAAATGTCAACATAGGAGTGTAACAGAGAAAGCAACATGAGACTTTAGCAGGGAAGTACAATATGATAATGCAACATGGGGGAGGCGACTATGTGAGTATAACAGTGAGGTGCAAGCAGCATGAGTGCGTTACAGAGGAAATGGAACATTAGAGTGAAACGATCGAGGAAGTACAACGTGGAACGCAGGATTAAAAGATTGGAGTGCAAAATGAGGGACTGAGGGTAAATAATAAGAGCTCAGGATGAGCGAGCAGCGTAATGATACATAGGATGAGAGTGATTAGCGTAATAAAAATGTGTGACAATCGGAGCGTCTGCTAAGAAGACGCTCCAATTGTCACTCTACTTCAAATACAGTCATGACTTCGCTTTGCACTGAAATGTGTTCTTCATTTCATTGCCCGGCCATAAATGTTTGTACATGAAATAAGTACCGCGCAGAGATTCAGAGCACGCTGTTATCAGGAGTACAGAGGTGCTGCGAAGATGTTGTGGCCGTTTTATCGCACCATTGCGGCCGCCCTGACCTCTGACACGAAGGACTGCATGTACGCCCAGTTCAGGGGTCATACTTTCAAAACTCGCTCAGTGAACGTAAGTACTTACGCTCTATTTTCTTGTCTATGATTGGTGGACTTTGCTCGAAAGGCCGTCAATGATTGGCTGATGAACTTACGATCTCTTAACTTTTTTTGAAAGTAAAGGCCCAGACCTACGAGTTAACTTCAACATAAAGTCCTCAGTGGAGCTAAAATATCTGTTTGAAAATCATCCTTTGGATATTCATTAATTTGTGTGGTCTTATTACAATACCTGTGAGTGGTTTTACTGCTTGCAATTCCTGCGAGTAGTCTTACTTCTTACTATTTCTTTGAGCGGTCTTACTTCTTAAATACTGTGAGTGGTCTTTGATTTAACAACACTTGTGAGTGGTCATAATCTAACAATTCCAGTGATAGGCCTTTTTTCTCACAATTCTTGTGTCTTAATCGTACAATTTCAGCGAGGTGTCTTCCTTTTAGTAATACCTGTGTGAGGTCTTTCTTCTCACCATATTCCTGTGAGTGGTCTTAATCTTTCAATTCTTGTGGGTGGTATCAATCCTCAATTCCTGTGAGTGGTCCTATTTGACTGTGCGTGGTCTTCCTACTCGAAATTACTATGAGTGATCTTTCTACTTAAAATTACTGTGCGTGGTTCTCCTATATACTGACACTATGAGTGGTCTTCCTATTTGCATTTACTGAGCATTATTTCGTAAGAGTTTATCCCTAGTATTGCTATAAATCTCGTTTGTAAGAGTTTTTTCTATCATCTTCATGTTCCTCCTAGAAGATGAGCCAAATATAATGATTTATATGTGTTTGAAACTAATCATTCATATACTTTTACTAAACTAAAAATTGGTTCCAGGGTGAATAGTGAAAACTCAATAGGCTTAAAGAGGCGTGAATGTTTTCTCATCTGAAGGCTCACATGATCATGAATGCTACTTTATTATCACTGCTCATTGTGATTAAATGGACGCCCAAGCCACTGTACATTTGAATGTTTACAATGAAAACCCAATAAAAATTGGTTCCAAGCCTGAACTGAAACACCTATTTGGTTGAAGAGGCGTGAATGTTTTCTCATCTGAAAGCTCATTTAATCAACGGCTACTTTATTATCACTGCGCATTGTGATTGAATTGACGCCCACGCCATGGTACATTTGAATATTTTCAATGAAAACCTAAGATTTAATCATGTCTTAAACTGCACGATGCTCCCGCATGCAGCTCATTGATGTTGCATGGTGCGCGTCCGTCGTCTCTTTGATGGAACTTGAAGTACGGCCCGAATTTCCATGGGATATTGAAGCCTGTCTGCAATCCGCCGCCCGTCAAAGCCTTTGATAGAATACTCTGCTTCCTGCCTTGGAGAACGTCAAGGATTCCATGTGTAATATTGAATAAAATCCACGGGTTTGAAAATCCAGTTACCGGTGAAAATATAATAGAATACTTAGCTGCCTGCCTTGGAGAACGTCAAGGATTCCATGTGGAATATTGAATAAAATCCACGGGTTTAAAAATCCAGTTACCGATGAAAATATAATAGAATACTTAGCTGCCTGCCTCGGAAAGCTGAAGAACGTCAAGGATTCCATGTGGAAAATTAAATAAAATCCACGGGTTTAAAAATCCAGTTACCGGTGAAAATATATAAGGCTGTTTCAAATGCAACCAAGATTTCCTAGGCGGGTCGGATTCACCAGATATGAACAATACTTCAAAGTTTGTATACTAAATGGCGTGCCATCATGTCCTGAGTCTTGAATATTAAATCTTAAACATTGACTATATTCCATTCATTCTTCAAAGTTAGTGTGTTTGTGAGATTGTTTGAAGCCTGGCACCGAAAATACGAGTATACAATATAGGGGCTGATCGAGCACATATCGGGAAATTACTAGGGATATAGTTTCATTTTTAGTGATGAAATCATGAGACAACGATAAAAAAGGGGAAAGCTAATTTTAAACTTAAAAGTGATTTCTACTTATGTTAGTGTCTATGTTATTCGGAAAATAAAAAGGTTAAGTTTAAGTCAATTCTTTAAACGTAACTTCTATGGGAGTTCGGTGCTGAATTTGGGTTTGAAATTTTTTTATTAAACGAAATTGAGTTACAAAATTATCAACTGGATTCTGGATAACGAGATTCGGAATAACATGATTCGAATATTCTCTTCTAATATCGCCGGGTTAACACTTAAGTCCGAGCCGTACACTGAGTTAGATCACATGTGTTCACATCATCTAGAAGATCTAGGCCTATACTTTAAAAAAAAAGTCAAGAAATCGTAAGTTCATCAGCCAATCATTGACGGCCTTTCAAGCAAAATCCAACAATCATAGAAAAGAAAATAGAGCGTAAGTACTTACGTTCACTTAGCGAGTTTTGAAAGTATGGCCCCAGAAGCAAGATCTGCCTGGAGTGCCAACGACCGATTATTGTCAAGATTCCAAACGTTGATTACCAGCGATCAGATCGGGTGCTCGCTTGAGCTTCATCGTGCAGACGGCAGGGGAATTTCGTAGCTTATGCCTATTATTTCGAAAATACATGAGAAAATTATTCAACTATTGGGTGGTTGATATTAATTAAGTGATGGTTATGCAAACATTAAGCAGATGTTGCATGCAGCAGCACAGACTGCAGATGTTCCATGCAGCACAGACTGCAGATGTTGCAGCAGCACAGACTGCAGATGTTGCAGCAACAGACAGACTGCCCGATGTTGCATGTAGCAGCACAAACTGCAGATGTTGCAGCAGCAGCACAGCCTGCAGATGTTGCAGCAGCACAGACTGCTGATGTTGCAGCAGCACAGACACCCGCGATGTTGCATGCAGCAGCGCAGCCTGCAGATGTTGCAGCAGCACAGAATGCACAGACATTCATTTAAGGGCCACGGACCGCTCTTTTCCGATCATCCCTTCAGTACGGGCACAAACTGCCCCTACGTCACCAAGTCACCCGGCGAATCACGTAAAACTGGTCATTGAATGCAAACAAAAAACGCACTCATTCAAGACATGAGTATCTAATGAATTTTTTTATTCAAACGTTAGATATTACTACATAAGAAATGACGCGGTTAGAGCAACTATTAATATTAAACAACAATTTTTTTTATATTAACACTATACAGCTTCTGTCACATGCATGGACAGACTATGCACACAATGCAGTATATAGTATCTGAAGACATCGAAGAATTATGGATTAATTATATTAATCTCATTTTCAACCGCGGGGAAGAATGTCACTGTGCTTCAGTCACATATTATATATTACAAGTAAAAATTTTCAGATCGTCAATAAGTTCTTCTCTTCCAAATTATTCTACCCGTTAGCAGAGTTACCAATATTATATTCGTTTAAAATTTATATTCGTTTAAATATTCGTCCAATATTCGTTTAAAATTTAATACCAGGAATGTTAGATGAAAAGAATTACCAGTTATTACGTTATAAAGCTCGGACGCTGATTACACCACGACACACAACCTTGAATGCCATACAACTCCTTCAAGTAGTGAGATTAAAACTAAATTGAAAGCCAAGTGACCAACAACACAACTTTAAGATTTCAATCTCTGAAATCATATTCATTATTCAATTTATATATGAGCCTAGCCACTCCGAGTATTTAGTCCTAAGAGGCAATCGATCAAGTCTTTATAAAGACACACAAAATATAAACTGTCCATGGGTCGCAGATGGCTCTTTGTCCACCACTTAAGACCATCATCGCTCCAGAAACCATCTGGCTCTGAGGCGCCGCCTTGTTCTGAATTTTGAACGGTTTGACGGTATTGACAATGCAGGTGCAATCGATAGTAGTCCGTACTACTTATGTACTCACTAATTTATTAGTCCTCACTCACCAATATAACCATTGCCCTCATAATCCATCGAACTTACCTAACCCAATTTTGGCGCTTGTAAAATGGAAATTTTCAAGTATTTTCGCAAAATTCGTCCCCGAGCGTCTGGTAATTATGGTTTGTCCGAAGATTACCAAGAGGCTCATGAATTAAATATACTTGACGAGAACAAATTGCTTGATGAGGACTTCCTTTAATTGTTGAGCATAAAATGATGACACGCAACTTCTTCGCTTGGCATGATATAAGTGCAACATGAATCATCACGAACAGGCAATTGCATGCTGGAGAGAACGCAAGAGAAATCTGATCTCATCAAAGGCATAACTCAAGCATCTAACTTCTTGAGAGGAGGCTGGAAAATGGACATCATAAACTGAATGTTACTGAAGAGTTACGTTCCCGGTTCTTCTAAAGCTGATAAATAAACGAATTAAAAATATATATGAGTTAAAAATATATGAGTTAAAAATCCTACGGCTTGCTTTAGTGAAACGCGCTTCATGTTGATCATACTTTAGGTCGATTTTGGACGCAAGGATTTAATATATTTAAAATTATACATCACGCCGGCACCGTTAACTGTTTAAAATTTAGAATGGAAAGTCGAAGAATGATGAATGCCAAGGCGAGAGATGACTGTAAGTGTAACACTTCTCATAATAATACTGTGGATACACATGCGTGAGAGTGCATTGTTTACCAAAGCACAGATTTGATACAAAGAGCAGTTTGAGTATTAATGAGTCATGATAATTAATGTTGAGTAAGCTCGCACTGAACAACAGGCGCGATACACTCGTAATTCACGGACAACAATCCCATTTGAAAATCTCAAACAGCTTATTGCCGGCTGATGCACGGTATAAGATGGCCTGGCATTGATTGCCCTATATTTTCAAGTAGGGTAAGCCGAGAGACTCTCCTCGAAGTTGCCTCTCTAGCACCACGCAATTACACTCCAACTAAAGCCTGCAATTAGATGCTAATGAAGCTGCAGCGAGGGAGCAAGGGTAAAGCGCTGCACATGAGGCGGCCACCAGACGCGTTACACTCGAGCATCCGGTTACGCTTTTGTTATTAGCCGAAAGAGTGGCTGTGAACTGGAATATTAATGTTAAACTTGAATATTGATGATCTTGATCTGTTTTATTGAAGAAAAGTCTGCAGTTATTAGAGCAGCTTCCGAATTGTTCGTTCATAAGTCTACCCGAGGTCATGCCTCATGTTTGAAAATATTCACTTCGACTCATCACTTACTGCAAGCTCTTGACCCTGAGGACAGGGAAATAGATCAGGCTCTTGACCCTGAGGACAGAGAAATAGATCAGGCTCTTTACCCTGAGGACAGAGAAATAGACCAGGCTCGTCACCCTGAGGGCAGAGAGCCAGATCAGGCTCGTCAACCTGAGGGCAGAGAGCAAGATCAGGCTCTTTACCCTGAGAACAGAGAAATAGATCAGGCTCGTCACCCTGAGGGCAGAGAGCCAGATCAGGCTCTTTAGCCTGAGGACAGAGAAATAGATCAGGCTCGTCACCCTGAGGGCAGAGAGCCAGATCAGGCTCTTTAGCCTGAGGACAGAGAAATAGATCAGGCTCTTTAGCCTGAGGACAGAGAAATAGATCAGGCTCTTTACCCTGAGGACAGAGAAATAGATCAGGCTCTTTACTCTGAGGACAGAGAAATAGATCAGGCTCTTTACTCTGAGGACAGAGAAATAGATCAGGCTCTTCACTGTGAGATCGGTGAGCCGGATGAGTCGGTGAGATATTATTCGCTTTGCCCGACGAAGAGAATAATATAGAAAGAAATATGCCTTTCTATAATATATAATAGACAGGCAGCAATTCTACAGCCCAAGATATTGCATTTTTGTAACAGTAATTTCAGATTTGTTACGATTTTTCTCCCATTTGCTTTAAGAAAAGCGAAGAAATTAATGAATAAATAGCATAAATATGGAGTTGATTTAGTTTTACCCCACCTGAATAATGATCTAATTGATTTCAGTGTTAACTGATACAAAAAATAATCATATTTTTCGGCAGTATGGAGTAAAAATTTCCTTATTTCCTGGCCAAAACACCATCCTGGATTATTACACCATTACATCCACTATTATTTTATTTCCTGGCGAATACACGTCATCACGAACGCAATGGCTTGTGAACAAAAATTTGAATCCCAAACTAAAACAAAAAAATATCGTCATGCGTCCCCTAATGCTTTTTCGGCAAGTGAATTTATTGATTCAGTAATTAATGAGACCAAGAAGTGAGCTTTAACATTGATGAATCGTAATCGAAACTCGACTGTTAATGGAAAATTTTCAATGCCACGTAAGAATGCAAAAAATGTGCGAACTTATGCTCTTAGATGTGGAGGTATAAAATAGCTTTGTGCGCTACTATAGGAAAATTCAATACAGGTGTGAAGCGTGAATAAATGTGTGAAAAAATTTAACTTACTTTAACATCGTTAGTTGAATTAATCCTGCCAGCAAAATCTTAATACAGATAGTACAATTCGTCTATTATAAATTAATACAATTCGTTTATACGAATCTTCCGACGCTTCAAACTTCTACATCCGGCATAGGCATAGGAACGTAAGAATTGAAAAGAAAATTGGGAGACATATATGAATTATTTTTATTAAATAATAGGAACTTGACAAGATCGTGGAAATTGCATAACAATTGTGACGTAAACGAACTCTATAGCTGGCATCGAAATAAATAGATTCGGACGGAACACGTTGTAATAAAAATGCGTGGAGCAATGATCAGTTCGTTTGGCCCGTGAGCCAAAAAGCCACATAAAAATTTTTAAATTGAATATCAGTAATTTAAAGCTGGACTAACGAAGCTTCCCAACACAGGTGAGCTTGAGCGATTCAACACGCTCTACGTGATCAAGCTGGAGCGCGAGCTGACTAACACAGCGTCCAGGCTGTCGGCTCTCGAGAGTACCGTCAGAGCGGTCGCTGACAGGGCGCTCGCCTGGGACAATATTCAGGTTGGTTTTTAGTGCATTTCCTCATTTATGGAAAAAATGCACAAAATGAGTGGTTTGATTGGCGAGCACTATTGTGCTCGCCATGTCCGTCTGTCTGTCCGTCTGTCCGTCCGTGACCTCAAGTTTTCGTCGACGAGAAAATGCGCTCTCTGTCACTCACTGCAGTGAGTACTGAGTTATATTTTTTCACTTTCACTTCACTTCTCCGGCGACATCGGGAGAGGATAAATCCCATTCATGGCACAATTATATTCATAATCCATATAAATATTCCTATTTAACTTTCTTTTCATAAGATCATCTTATCAGTATTGCTTAAAAATAATATACAAATTGAAATTAGAAGTCAAATAATATATTCTACTTCGAATAACTATTGAACTTTGCAGAATGAGTTTTGAAAGAGACAGGTTTCATGCAGATAAAAGAATGTATGGCCCAAGTAATTTGTGCAGAAGATTAAATAGTTTTACAGTACATAAGAACGATCCATAAAATTATTATTTCTTGCAACAGAACCACATGGCAGTGTGGACGGACCAAAGCAGGACCATGGAACGAAAATTGGACATCCTGAACAGGTTAGACGGTTCTATTAGTCTAGTGATACTATAAATTAGTTCGAGACAAAGGATTTGAAAAACTATGAAACATAGTGAGAACTTGAGAGGCATCTGGACGATATAAAATAAGATTTTGATATATGAATTATAAAATTATGATTGAAAATCAAAAATATTTAGAATACAAATATTAAATATACTATTCACACGTTTATACTACACACAAATCTACTATTCACACGTTTCTACTACACACAAATCTACTATTCACACGGTTATACTACACACAAATCTATATTCACACGTTGAAAACACATAAAAGTTAAGAAATAAAATGAGTTTGAAGAAAATAACTTACTTTGACAGGTGTCACGAGAAGCACGTTGAGTGGGACAGCAAACTGAACGCAGTAGACGCGCTCAACCACAAGCTAACTGCGCTCGATATTAAGATCAACGCCATGACTCGGCTCGAGTTCAAGGTGGAGCAAGTGTCGGAGCGTGTCGAGGAGGTAAGTCAAGTACTAAATCATAGTAACACTGTTGAAACGTAAAGAAACTAGGTGTTGGGTGAAACTATTAAGACTTACGTCGGATAAAAATATCTGAGACGTCGGTACGTTAAGGACTAAATCATAGTAACACTGTTAAAATATTTACGTATTATCAGTAATTCAAGTACCAAATCATTGCGAAACTGTTAAAATGTTTACGTATTATCAAACAACGTATCTTCTATAGAGCTTAAAGCCAATCACTATGAGGTTGGCTATCGAGGAAGTAAAGTTAAAGACTAAATCATAGCAACACTTTTAAAACCTTTACGTATTATCAAATAACGTATCTACTATAGAGCTTCAAGCCAATCACTATGTGGTTGGCTATATGCAATATGCCAACAGCAAACAGATCTAAGGTCGAAATTCTAGATTATACCACAAGTTCAGCATGCACTATGGCTCCATGTAATAGAGATAACATAATATTTCTATTGTATCGTTGTGATATCATATTGCATCACGTAAAGATAACAGTTATCTTTAAAAATAAAACATGATAAAAGGAACGGTTATCAATAAACTTGACTTCGTAGAATTGATAAGTTCGTTGAGAAATTTTTTACACAATCAAGATTTTATAAATAATTCAAAGTTTTCAAGACTATTTTTCATTGAAAGCTCAGAAGTTTCATAAGAACCTATCATTTCAACTAATGGGAGACTTTATTTTCGGAACGTATTATTTTAATTAATGGGAGACTGTATTTACCTCTGTATGAAAATCATTCCATTATTCAATACAATGACTGAGCTGTTAACAGGTCGACTCGAAGGTAACTTGGCTACAGAAGCAGCAAGGCTCCAGTCCGGATGGCGGGGGCGCTTGGGCCGAGTTTGCGAGCCGAGGGCTGTTGACAACTTTAACGTCCATAGAAGATAACGTCAAGAATCTCAGCAAGAGCTTCAGCCCAACAACCTCTAGCACATCCCACAACACCAGTCATAACACCTCATCACGAGCCAGAGCAAGAGTGAGGTTTATAAAAAATAAGTAACGTAGTTTTAATTTGATTATCGATTCTTGCCTAAACCTTCTCTAATTTTGAGCGCTAGATTGAGTCAAAATTAGTGATGAAAATAAAAGACAAACGGCTATAAATATTTACACTGACATTAAAGTCGCAGGTATATATAGTTATTCAACTTGTTTCAGATCGGACACTCCCTACTCATATAGGAAGCTATAAAGTTGAAATTTTTAGATAGTTTTTGGCGTACATAGATGTTCGAAACATATAAATCCGCAGCACGCAGTAGGAGCAATAAATACTACCATAACAAAAAGTACTATTGCACGAACGTAGTAAGATTTGATCGTTATTTCAAATAAAACGTTTTGCGGCGAATATTATTTATCGTGACAAACCTTTAACTACTAAGACAGCAGTGGGGAGTTTCACAAATGTTAATTTAAGAAATTATTATCGGATATACGTAAAGTATTCACGTTGCACTCAAATATCATCGTCGCTTGGGCAGGTTCACGGCAGCAGGAGTCGCCCCGTTCGTCACCCCCACGACTCCAACAGAGGTACGGACGCCAGCGATGAATTCCAGGCAATAAAATTTGTGTTGTTTCAAGTGGCGTTNATGAATTCATGGCAATAAATAACCTTTGTGGTGTTTCAATATAAGTGGCGTTCCAGTCAAATGCCACTGTCTTTATCTATTCATATATGAATGGTAGATATGCATTAATAAAGCGGCAGTAGGATTTAGGAAAATTTAAAAAAATTTCAGCTCATTAAATAATTGTAAGATTTCTGATAACATAACATAACATAACATAACATAACATAATATAGTGACGTCGGCGCTGAAGTGTAGGCCTGATGTGGCCTGTCGCCGATTCTTTTCCTTTTCGTGACTTGTTCACAGAAGATCTAAAATCGTGTCATTTGACCGGATCTTTTCAAGACTGACGATAGTTTGAAATAGCTTCTAGACTTCCACCGGGTTCGATATGGTGCTTAAACCCATTGAATAATTTCACAAACGTCAAAACACACGTAATTCTAGTTCATTTTCATCAATGGCTGTTATCTCTTATGGTTCCACTAGAAAATGCGGTTGTTTACATCTATCATCATTATAGATAACATTTTAAATTTTCATATATCAAGGTATTCTAGCATGCGAGCATGAAGAATGTCGAGTAGTGTCATGATGGTTCTACGTAATCTTATAGTCCATTTTATTGTATTTTCATTTAATCTTTTCTGAATGGCATATTACCAATTGAATTCAATTTCAATTTATTAGAGTTACCTTACAGTGTTAGAGAGAAGGTTATTAAGTCAAGTTTTCCTGAACTTGTCACATGTTTTCCTGAACTTATCACATGTTTTCCCGAACTTATCATATGTACAAAAAAATATAAGTTACCCGATTTATTCTAAGCCATTATTCATCCACTTTGTTTCCAGTCCAGTGCGACCTGGACGAGCGGGATGGAAGGTTGCTGGAAGACGTGAGCGCCAAGATGGACCTGGTCTTTGACAGACTCAGCGACACCGAGGACTACGACAACCTTATTTGTAACCTTATTATTTCTTCTTAAGCTTGAAATACCGACACAGATTTTGACAGACTCAGCTTTATTATATAACTTGCTGGAAGTTATTATATAACTTGCTATATAACCTTTGACAGACTGAGCGACACCGAGGACTACGACAACCTCATTTGTAACCTTATGATTTCATCTTATGCTTGAAATACCGACACAAATTTTTCACAAATTAGTAAAAATAGACAAAAACAGCTGATCAATTTAAATGGAGCTTGAAATTATCATTTTGATATTCATTTTTGCAAATTGTATTGAAACTTTGTGAGAATTTTGCATTATTATCCATTGCGTCGGATATAAATAGCAAAATTATTTCGCTTACAAATTCAAAAAGTCCTCAAAGAATCTCGTTTTTTTTTCTACGAGACTTATCTGCACTAACATAGCCTGAGCTCATTTTAAGGAGGAAAAAGGATTCAAATTGTGAACATTCCAAAATAAAATGCCCTATATAATACATATGTTCTCTAAATATAAATACCCTATGTAATACATATGTTTTATAAATATAAAATACCCTAAATAATACAAATGTTCTCTAAATATAAAATACCCTAAATAATACATATGTTCTCTACATAATTTGCTAATACTTATCGCGCAATATTGTCCGACCAATCGTGCAGCACATTTCTCCCGACGGTCATTGTCGGTCCCAACGGCTCGCGCCCCGACAAGTCGGGCCTCCGAGCCTCGACTGCCGTCCCAGCTCACCGAGGACCGCCTCTCATCCGACGAGAAATCCTCCGAAGATCCTGAAGCTTCGGACGCCGTAACCGAGAGGATCTTTGCCATGTTCTGGCGGAGTCTCTTTGCGCCCTTCAAGAAACTAAACAGGAGGTTCCGGGCTCTTGAGAGCCACATGACACAACTCAGCAGGTCCTCTCATAAGTTCGTAGGCTCAGATATATATTTTTATTGTCAATCATTTTCATATGTTCACGAGGGCTTGTAGTCTGCACAAATTTCAATAAGGCTGAACTTTGAACCCTAGAACTTTTTTCAAATGCTTATATCTGATTAAATTGAGGGTATAAAAATGTATTCAAAAAGTTTAAGTATTCTTGCACTTCTTAAAACTGTTTCATTTATGCTATGCATAAGATTTTTCCTTGATGAATCTTGGCGATCGCAAATACGATCACGAATTTCTAATACTACCTTCTATGTGGCTTTCCTCGTAATTACCCTTTGTGCTGGTACAAGTGTTCAGTTATGTATTCTTATCTTACTAATTTTAAAAGTATACTGGTCGCAGGCAATGCACCGATCATGAGCGAGGGAGTCCTGCAGACACGACACAACCTACTCTGCCAGCTCGGCCACCGCTCACTCCGTCACAGCTGAAACTGGCGGTCGCTGAAGCCATTGGTCCCTTGCAGCAAATAATCTCAGCGAACCAACTGCAGGCAGGGGACGAGTCCAAGACAGTCATTGAGCTGCTCCGAGGCATTGCCCAGGTAATAATTAAATAATTGCGCATTCATATTGCCCAGGTAATAATTAAATAGTTGGGCATTCATATTGCCCCAGTAATAATGATAGAGCTGGTCATACATATATTTCGGAAAATAATGATAGTCAAATTTATTATCATACGGCTGGCTGTACGTATGGCCCAAGAAATAATCACAGCATTGCTTCAAAATAAGACTCCAGAGTCCAACACTGCTTTCTCCTAGTTCTACATTTACGTAAAGATTCAGCGTAATGTCCGAATCTAAGTTAAAACAAAATTTAGACATGCTTCAAATTAAATGCCCAGGTCATATATATTTTTGAATTCGCAGTTTGTACATTGTATAGTGAATTAACATGTGCTTTTCTTATGCTACCAGTAAGGCAATGTCGACGTTTTTCATCCTCTGCTGGGCATTAACCTATGATTTCAGTGCGTTTAAAATGATTTAATCAAGTAATTTC